AGAAAACAAAGCTGCTTCAACCAACTCTGCACTGCAAAGTTTTTGTCCACTTGAGGTAATTTTAAACTGGAGCTCCTCAAACTCAAACTTCTCGGTTCGGTCTAAAGATCTCCTAACTCGTCTTTTACTGCTGTATCTCAGTTTGGTGAAGACTGCAGTGTTCTGGATTTTATGCCACTCAGTGGTTCCTATAATTACTTAAGTATCGGTGTAGACAGTAAAACTCCACCTCTAAAAGCTCCCTCACAGAAAGTTATTACATTAAATGGTTATGAATACACTGCCTGATGTCTGAGAGATGCCTGATTTTCTGTTTTGAGAGGGTTTTGGCCCAATACTTATATTTTTAAAAATCCATTCCTGGTGGAGGGATACAAGCAGGGCACTATGAGCTAAAATAGTCCCCAAAGAAAATGTATTATTTTCTAATTATACACTATTTCACCATCATCAACATTCCATATAAAGGCTCAGAAGACACGTGCAAGTTCATTGGAGAGTAATCATATGGAGATGCCATAAACAAAAAAGAAAAAAATATTTGACAAATATGAGGAAGAAGAACGTCTTCCTCACTAAATAATACACAATTCATGCTGAAATATGTGGATTTTGGTGTCAGTTTCAATCATGGATGTGAGCTGAGCTGGCGTGTCCTCTCAGTAGCACCTTTTATAAACTTGCTGCCTCACAGATCCAGCATGGTGACGTTAAGCGTTTCAGTGAACATCATAGAATGTATGTCTAAAGTCTCTGAGACTGGAGTCTGGACATTTAGACTGACCATTTCAGTCTGTGGTTTCCTCAAGTGACCCACAGGGATGCAGAAGTGCCCTCTGCTGGCTGAATGGTGGAGTCTCATATGGAAATCCAATATATGGGCATATATGGACATATGTCATAAAGCGGGGGCACATAACTCTGGTCCTAGAGGGCCGGTGTCCAGTACAGTTTGGTGATTTACCTACTAAGACACAACTGATTACATTTATCTGTTAATGGGCAGGTTTAGTGGGTGTGTTTAAGTAGGGAACCCTCCAAACTGTGCTGGACACAGGCCCTCCAGGACCGGAGCTGTGCACCCCTGCCATAAAGGGTCAGGCATATATTTCAAAATGTATGTACATATATGTAAGTATGAAATATTGAACACATATGTATAACAAACAGATCACATATGTCTGATACATGGTTGAATACATACCAGTACAGTTAGAATTGTTACTGTCTGTTTGTGTTTAAATATTTAATTATTTAAATATGTCAGTGAACAATATTTCCATTTATTTCTTGATTTATGCTCTTTTCACAGCTTATATGTACATATATATTGAGATTATATATGCAGCTGTTATAATAATTTTCATTTTATTATGAAATATACAAGTATAGGAAGATGCATGAAAAGTTTGCGTGTAATTTTCTGTTAAATATGTGTTTTCGGCTTTTTTGTCCTGACACTGAAAAATAAATGAAGGTGTGGTGACTTTTACACAGTGCTGCAGGTGTAACTGAGTAAATGTAAGTAGGTACTTCACACCTCTGAATACAAAAAAGTTAAATTTATGTCTACACAGTTTACACATTATTCAGTAAAAACTGGGAGAAAATCAATCTGGAGCTTTTACATATAAACCTCATATAGGAAATGGATTAGCCATGAAGTCCTTTAGGCCGAGCATAATGAAAAGATATAAATTAAAGGAAATGCTGTAAAGATAAAAGTCCTGGCGTAATAATCACGGCAACCCCTTACCATAAATTAGCAACAATCTCATTATCAGTGAGGAGAGCGGCTGGGGGAGAGTGTCCTTTTTGGAACAAGCCGCTGAGTAGATACTGTAGGATTTATAATAGCATTAAAATAGAGAGTTATATATTATTTTATGGATATATTTTTGCATACAAATCTTAATTTCAAAAAAGCTGGGTGTGTGAGTGTGTGAAATGCGAATAAAAAATGAAACTGTTTAATCCACTTTGACCTGTATTTAAGCAAAAAGATGTTTTACTTTTTGCTGCTGTCAGAACAAAACCTCCTGTCTCCATTTTTGTTGTTTTTCGGTTTTTATTAATATTATGACATTTTCAAAAAACATCTCAAATTATTAAATTAAAGCTTGGGTGTAAAAGAAGAATCCAAGAAACAGCCGAGACAGTGACAATACGGCAATTCAAGAACGTTTTTCAACAAGCGGTTGTAAGGATTTTATGTAATTTAGCACTGCATTAAAATCCGGCCTGCTTCTGTGTGTATATGTATATCACCACATGGGTTTGAGAATACTTTAACACAGCATTGTCAGTAAACACAGTCTGTCACAAATGCGAGTTAAGTCTGTACTCTGTACAGTAGAAGTCAAATATCAACAACATCCAGAAACGCCACCGACTTCTCTGAGCTCAAGCTCATTTGAAATGGACTGATGCGCAGTGGAAATGTGTGTTGTGGTCTGACGAGTCAATCTTTGAGATTGTTTATGGAAATAATGGATGTAATATAGGATAAAAAATGGACCATCCAGACTGTTACCAGCAAAAAGTTCAAAATCCTAAGCATGGCTGTGTAATCAGAGTGTAGGTGGTAGACTGATCCATCTATGTCCCACTGAAAACGTGGCACGTTATAAAGCACAAAGTACGACAACAAAGGCCCCATATAGTTACACAGCTGAAGACTTGTATATTATGAAAGAAAGGCAAAGATAAATCTCTTTGAAAACTGGATCGGTTTGTATCTTCAGCCAATAAACAATTATGGAGTGTTGTTAAATAAAAGGTGATGTAACACAGTGGAAAACACGATCCTGTTTGAACTTTTTGGAACGTGTTGCAGACATCAAATGTGCATGTATTTACCAAAAAAACAAAGTTCGTAAGGTAAATATAAAATCATGTTTTTGTAATGGTTTTACTTAAATACACGTCAAACAGAATTTAAGTAATCACTGCTTACTGTGTTTATTAGCATTTCATACAGGGTGCCAACTTTTTTGGAACTGAGATTTGTGGTATTACTTGTGGTAACATTGTTATAAATCAACACAGTGCAGATCAGACCTTTCCATAATGTCAGGTTCAGTTCATTTCACCACTAAACGCTTCATGAAATGATGAGTTCAGTGTAACTGATGACTGAATTCTTCACTCACTGTTTCACTTTCAGAGCCAAACACACAGCACTGAGCTCTGCATCCTCTTGTGATCTGCAGCTCTTTACTGACCCCTAGCGGCCGCTTCACTGAACTCTTCAACTTTAATTCTGGAAACAGTTACTACATTTTATTTTAAAAATGTGTTAAAATAGGCAGTAATAGCACTAGGATATTGTTATTTGACAGGCAAGAGTAAGAAAACATCTAATCAAATGTTAAAAGCAAATCACTTTGTTACTGGGAATTAAAAATCAGTAGGGTGTTCATTTTCAATACAAAACAATTCAATGTATGTATGTGTATACATATATATGTTAGAACATTGCTGTGAGGATTTGATTGCATTCAGCCACAAGAGCATTAGTAAGGTCAGGTACTGATGGTGGATGATCAGTTCTGGATCACAGACGCCACTTCAGCTCATCATTCACTCATTAGAAGGTGTCTGGATACTTTAGGACATACAGTGTACTGAGATATGCCAGTGCTGTTCTACTGAGATCACATTTGACGGTACAGCTGAGGGTGGTTTAAGGGTACTCTGCTCACCTGAAACGCTGAAATAATGGCTTTCAGAACTTTGTCCTGCTTCACTGTAGCTGCAGTACTGCGGTCATCTTCAGTGCTGAGAACCATGACGGTGTGGAAAGGGAAAGCGGAATTGTGGTTCTTGGCCTTGGACTTTAAGAGTGAAAGAATGCTAGAAAATAGCTCCCTCTTGGGGGGCAGCAAAATTGTACAATGTACACTCACTGGCTGCTTTATAAGAAACACCTACCTTGTGCTTCCCCTCAAAGACCACTTTATTAGAAACACCTACCTTGTCCTTCCACTCACTGGTCACTTCATCAGAAGCACTTACCAGGTTCCACTCAATGGTTGCTTTATTAGAAACACCCACCTTGCCCTTTCGCTCACTGGCCACTTCATGAGCTCTACTGATCTTATAGGTCCACTATGTAGGTGTACAATTACAGAGTGTAGTTATTCGTCATTGGTCAGTTTCTAACAACAGGGCCGCTGTTGACCAGATATTATTTGAGTGGTGGTCCATTCTCAGCACTGCAGTGACACTGACATGGTAGTATGTGTGGTGCTGGTAAGAGTTTATCAGACAGAGCGACGTGGGATTTTTAAGCACTTTAGTGTACAAAAATATCCAGACGAGCAGCTCTGAGATCAGTAACTGACCACTGATGAAGGACTAGAGCAGGCTGTGGTCCTGGTGATCTACCATCGTGAAGAGTACAGATCCAACTCACCTGGCTCTAGTGTTTAGATGCCCCAAAGGACTTTCATTACCTGGACCAGATGTGTTAGATTAGGTGTGTTGGAGCTGAACTCTGGATTGGATTCACCTGGACTGGATGGATGACATACACCGAACATCAACAAAGGAGCTACAGCCTCTGACTGTACACAAGCAAGGTGGAGATACAAGGCGAAACCAGATGTTCCAAACGATTTCAAAAATATCAAGCAATTTTGTGGTTAAGGTGACCACAAGCCGTCGGCTAACATCAACTATGGAGCCGAACAAACTCGCGGCCGCTGCCTTCCCACTTTCAGTCCCCTCCAAGTTTTCGCAGAGCACTTTCAAAAACATTCAGTCATGTTTTTCTTTTGAAGGATTTTATTTCTGCATAATGGAAGCCCCTCTCCTCACTCCACACAATGAAAACTAATTGGATCACAAGGTTGTTTTGGATTCACTTGCCCATTTTTACAATAATTATCAATACAACATTTTTTTTTAAAGAAAAAACAAAATCAATATAAGTTCTTACAGTGATAACTGCAAATGGCATGCAAGATAAAATAAAAAACTACTGTTAGCTACTACTGATGCAGTTTTATTTTCCCCTAGTATTTCTAACCATATAATTCACTAAAATAGTGTGGTGGGAAAGGTTCTCTATGACTTTGTTACCAATTCAAATAACTTTTTTTTTTTTCCCCTCATATTTGCTTAGAACCCAAACATTCTGGAGGGACCGTGACGAAATATCATTCCAATCTGTTCAGACTGCCGTTTTGAAGAGAGGCTTTGTCTAAAGACTACAAACTATTTTCTCTTATATAAAAACAAAAAAGTCTATAGTTTTTTTTCACTTTTTCGCTCCAGTGTTTTAAATTTATATTAGAAATAAAAAAAAGTTATTAAAAATACACACAGCATGTTGCTACAGAACTAAGAGAAGATGTAGTCCATTTTGTTTTTTGATATATAAGCATACATACACACAAAAGAAAAAAAAAAAATTCATAGAAACGTGGCAACGTTTGTGTGTTCTGGGCAGTTGGCGTCTACCCCTGTTACATCCTATCTGCCAGATTATCATATGTGGGAGGGGCTTGCTTGACGGACAGATCGGTATGGTAATCAGTACCAACAAGTACATAAAAGAAGCACAGAAACTGATGAAGTTTGAGGTTAACAGGATTAAGAAACAGTTACAGACCATAAACCATTTGGTACAACTATCTAAGGGTCTTTGTCATTGGTTCGTTCCACTTAAGAAAACCCTTTTCCTTTGAACAAGCTATCAGAGATCTTCAAATCCAGACCTTGAATCAAGTTTCTGGTCCTTTATCTTGTAAACTGTGGTAATTCACTAAACTGTTGATGTAACTGATTGGCCACCTACCAGAACGTACAACATCCAGGATCAGAAACTGGATTCAAGGTCCACATCTAAAGACCTCTGGGAGGAACGTAACCTCTGGGTATACGTAAAAGAAAGTACAGGGCCTGTGAAGAATGAGATAATACAACACTGTACCATACTGGAAATTTGCTTGATACTGGTCAAACTAATCAGTGACATTTATAGTTATCATCAAAAAACTACTGACGGAGGGAAAATTCAGCACAGCAGTACTTGTAGAGAAGGCAGGTAAAGTTACACTGACAGCTTTAAGGGAAGAAAAACGTTTAGGCAGTGACCGCATTTCAAAACAAAGTTCAAAATGAACAAATGATCACATCCTAAGGCCACAAAGTCTTTAAACGTATAAATACGTATGTGGTGTTGAGCGTCTTTTTGGAGCTTCCGTCTTTGCGTCACTTGCTAAGTAGATACATCGTCACTGACAGCAACACGTTATGTAGTAGTAATGTGAATATTGTGAGCTGCTGGAGATGGACAGGTGTGCGTCCCTGCACCGCATATCATCACTTGTGCCATTTCCACCACGTTAGATAAATGTTACACTACAAACCAGTTAACAGAGTTACATTTACATCCTTGAAATGCATCCTTAGGTCAGAATATTGAACAGTTATAAGCGGAGTTTAAAAGTTGTTTAATGTATGAAGAAGTGAGTAATGTTATGGAACTATATTGTGCCATTTTTCACAAGTACTGTGGACAGATCTCGCAGGACATTTCCTGAGTCTTCAGCATGCTCAGGTACTGGAGACGAAATGGTGGCGTATTACAGTATACGTCACATAAGATGTTCTTGTTTTCGCTTTAGGTCCAGCAGAATGAACGTAAATGTGTAAATGGCAGCCGTTTAAGTCTGTATTCCTTCTTCGTTCTGCACCATCGCACAATCCCTCATATCTTCCCATTCTGGTGAGCAGACCAAACTGTTTCTTTGCGAAATGCTGTAGTTCAGGCATTCTTCCCTGATTCGATTGAGTCTCCTGACCCCGTTTTCTTGTTCCCTTCTTTCACGTACCACCAAAAACGGTCAAAATATCTTTACAAAAAAAAAAGAAGACAAAAAAAAAGAAAAAAAAAAGTGAAATAATTCATTTTAAAGTATAAAACAACCCCAAAACGAACACTCTCTCCAAATAATAATGTAACAGAAGGTAGAGAAGGTAGAGATTCATCTCTGACTCATCCTTCTGTAATATCAGTCTGGGCCAGTGGGTGGCGCCACTGTGCGAGGCGGCAGTGAGAGAGGCGGGGGTGTTCGCGTTTTGTTTTTGTTTTAGGGGTTTATCTCAGAGGTTTAGATTGGAATGTCACACTGCCAGTCGGCCCGGGGGCGGATGCAGGGGGCTCCAGGTGGCCGGGGGTGCTGGAGGGGGCTCCTGGGGGTAGGGGCGGGGCTCACAGCAGGGCTGAGCCTCAACTTTAGCCACGCCCCTTCCCTGGCACAGCCGCCGATGCCTCAACAGCCGATCTGTCCTCGAGAAGTTCTGCGAGGAAAAGAAACAGAAGGAAAAAGAAGAACAATAAAACAAACACATAAATACACAGAGAAACGGAAGAAATCTTTTGTATTTTAAAAGAGCTGCTGAGCGACAGGTGTTGCTTTTTAATCAAATGAATGTTTGGTATATGCAGTATTTTTTTTTTTGAGAAATGAACCTTTCAATGTGCTTTTAATGCAAACATAATGTACTGTCTTTTTTTATTTGCGTTAAACTCCTTCACAACAAAGAAAATTCTTAGTACAGATGTTTGCTTTATTACACTTCTCTATTATAATGTTTAACTAGTTAACTGTAGCTCATGTCAGAACCTAATTTTCTGTATATTGCTTTATGTTATGTTGTGCTAAAAGCAATTCTGTAATATTTTAGGCTCAAACAGTTCCAGAATCAGATTAATTTTGTTTTTTTACGAAACTACGTCCAGCATTCTCTGCTGGTACCGAAACCTGGAATCGATTCAGTGTCTACTACTATCTACTAAAACTTAGAACTGAGTGTTTAAAAAAAGAAAGAGAAAAACTTAAGGTTGCCAGAGCTACATATAAACATTTAGAACTGAGGTCAAAAACCAGCTCAGATAGCGAAAATGATGTTTAGGAATGTGACCGACCTGCCAGTCAAAGTGTGTACGAGTAAACAGTGTCTTACCTGCTGGCAGCGCTCGCACTGATAAGGCTTCTCTCCGCTGTGTACGCGTTTGTGCCTCTCCAGGTGATACCTCTGGATGAAGCGCATGTCACACATGTCACATGCGAACGGCTTCTCGCCTGGCGGACACAGAAGCCATCATTAATTAATATACATGGTGTTTCCCTCACAACTCAAATCACTATAGCACACAGTGTATGTCTTATCAAAACAGCAGTAATTAAAAAGCTGAGATGCACCGAAATTTTGACCAAGATTACCAAAGCGTCAAAATCTAAGACTTTAAAAACACTGTTTGCATCGCATACATTTGACCTGTTTGAGCAGCAGATCGACAGTGAAAACATTGGCTGTTAAAAATTATTTGACGACATTAAGAGGAGATAAAACACCCAAGACCGTCTCTAGCACAGGTTTGATATCATGTGCAATCACACCATCACCATCTGTAGCCTCATATTATGAAATGGTGAAAAACTGAAAAACGACTGCCAAACTGCAGATATGGCTGAAATCAATGCTGCTAAGAATGCTGGATTTCATGGCACATACTGTAAACTATGTACTGTAGTCAGTTTAGTAAATGTAGTAAGTTTACTTTATGTAAACCATTTTTATTTACCGTCAGCTTTCGGTTTCGGTTTTTAGTTGACGATTTTCATTTCGGTGCATCACTGCTTAAAAGAGTGTCATTAGTTACTGAAACTAGACAGTCAATTTTTCACAATTAGCAACAAAACAGATCAGAATGAGAACAGTTGCTCTTTGAGAGGGGACAACACAAAAAGACTTCATCCAAACTCGAGTTTGTAGTGAAGGCTAATATTCAGCAAAGAATTATGGGCCGACATTGTCCACGTTAAATACAAAGTGGCACGCTGGGGCAAGTTTAGTGCTCCGGGGGGGCATGATCTAAATGTACTCCCCAAATTCCCCAACAATTCACCACAGCTTATTTAGAAAAGTGAACATACTGGCACGTTAAGAAAAAAAAAATTCTATGATGGAAAAAAAATACCATTTTTTTTCTTGTTAAGTGCATCACCAGCCCTCTAGATTACTGGCCTAAGTATATTCTAATTCAATATTTAAACATACAATAATGTTAAATAAATAAATAAATAAGTAAATAAACTAAAACGTGAAGCAAGACTAACTTCAGTATACAATCTACTATTTCCAGTCCAAATGTTTCATTTTAGGAGCTGCTTTCACAGAAAGGGGTACAGGGAAAGAACACATACCAGTGTGAGTGAGGCTGTGTCTTTCCAAGTGGTAACGTTGGAAAAACCGCATGTCACACATCGAGCAAGCATACGGCTTCACCCCTAAACGCACAGAGCACCAACACTCAGTGAACCTCGGCACACAACATTCAAAGCAAAACTCTGTACACAGTGCAGAAGTATTTGGACAGTGAGAATTTTAAGGACACTGGACTTGAGAAGAAACAATGACTGAAACTGAGACTGTCCGCTTTCACGGCAGGTTTAGGACTTCTATAAACTATCAAGGTCCTTCTCATATACAGTCCACTCATTTAAGTGGACCACAGTTAGTTTTTCAGCCCGTCGTTTGTTCATGCACACTACAGCAAACAGAAGTTCTAGAGGTGATTCTAAATGTGACACTTGTCAAAATGGACTGTCGGGAACATTAAGAAGCTACAATGCGCTGGTGATCTTGGCGAACCTGGTAGATCATGGACATCCTCCAAAACATGCATGATGTCTGGAAAAACACTACACTACACCACACCAGCCTGACCTCAGAGATCAAACCAGAAGATTTTATTCTAAGTCATTTTGGACTATTTCTATTGTTCCGTTCATCATGAAATTCTGACACAGCGTAAACAGCAGCTGGCATTTTCAAATTATGTAGAAAGAAAAACAGCAAAAATGGAGATACAAGGTTTCATTCCAACGGTGACAATATAGAGCCTATTTACACTCAGCCACATAAATTCATCTTGGTTAGACAGACACAGACAGTCAATTTGCATCTGTGCTGCTTATCCTGTCATGCGCAAATATGAAATGATGCGTGACAAAAATTGGTTTTGCAGTTCTGCATTTTATAAAAAACAAATTAGGAAACTCTTAATTTTCCTCTAAATGGTGGCAGGAGCTGCTGCATGCAGTTTTTGTTTAGTCACCCCTGATAAATGACTGACTCATCAGTGAGTAATTTCACTAGTGAAAGTACAGACTATTTAAGTACCACCATGTTTTAAATTACAAGCAGAAAGTGGGCTTGGCTTAAAGCAGAAATGAAAGCAAGTTGCAAAAAGTAGGTTTATTTACTGACCACAGTGGACTTAAAACTAATCAAGAATGGCTGACTTGAATAACATGCATGCAAAATGGACTTTAGGTAGCAAACCTAGTCTAGGAACAAGTACACAGATGCTGATAAGATCAAAATTTAGTACTGACTTTTTGATACTTCGTAGTACGAAAACAAACCTGCTGTTAGCATAACACCACCAAGTTTCGATACCTAGCCTTAGTCTCAAATTACCTCCTGTTTTGAGTGATCAGATAGCAGTCTTCGGCACACTTGGCTGCATTTATATTTGGCCTTTCACAATCAGACAGCAATCGGATCAGCCCAAAATATTGATAAAAATTACAATGAATGCAACTTGGATAATAATTTCTCGATACTGACACAAGGACATCAAAAAAAAAAAAAGTAAGAACCACTTGAGGTGTTTAAGTGTAATCTGTGCCTCAAAACTCATTAGCCTGCATTTCACAAAGTTAAAAACCCTGAGAAAAACTTGTTAAAACAGCTGAGGATCGCTTCAGAGGAAAACAATCAAACTGATCTGAATCACCTGATCCGAAACCCACTGAGCAGTTAACTTGCAGCCGTCAGAAATAAAGGTGAAAAAAAGAACTGAAAGCAGCTGTATGACAGACCAGACAGAGCATCACCAGGGATTGTCAAAGTCTGTCTAGTACTGAGTCACAGATTGTAGAAAGTTAGTGACTGCACAAAATAGTATAATCAAGTACCAAACACAACATTTTATTGTGATTCACATATGCAGCACCCAAATAGATGTATGTACCCTTGAATAAAAGGTAATTTCCTGCCTTATGTTATCTGCATAGCCATTGTTTCACCAAGTCAGTGTGCTGGAGCACCAAAGAACTAAAGCAACAAAAATTTCTTACTGTCCAAATACTTATAGACTGCATATATTTACGCTCATTTTATTTCATTTAGACATGTATACTAAAGTATGGACATTTATAATTATAATACTTTGATAAAAAAAAAAATATATATATATATATATATAAAAAATATATATATATATATATATATATATATATATATATATATATATAACAAATGCTTAACAAAGAATAACTGTTCTGGAACTTCCACAATACTTTCAAATGCACATTTCCACTAACCTACCTGTGAATAAACTGAGTTCCACTGAAACAAGATCTTGAGATTGCGCAACCTGAAACTGCGATCCACCAAGCATCCAAGAGTGACTCATTTTCACTGCACTACAGTTGCTATGTACATTTAGGGCCTTCACGGCTAATATCTGCCCATTGCAAACGGCAGTAAACATAAGGTATATCAGTACTGGGTGTTTTAGCCTTATCTCTCTCAATTATCAAAATATTCAAAGCATGTCTTTTCAGCTCAACTCAAAAGCAGTTTGTTTGCATTTTATGTGTATAATTAACAGACAAGGGCGGTGAGATGAGACGACACATACCCGTATGAGTGAGGCTGTGTCTCTGCAGGTGGTAACGCTGAAAAAATCTCATGTCGCACATCGAGCAAGCATATGGCTTCACCCCTAAATACACAAAGCACCAACAGTTCACATGTATAACCTTTCCTTTCTGAATACATAGATTCTGGCATAATATCTTTCACTGGTGAGCCAGATATCTGATAGCCAAAACATATACCCACACAATTTAAACAAAAAAAAGAAAAGAGAAAAGAAAAAAGTAAAAGTAGTTTTGTGTGTTAAACGGCCTTTGTATTTCAGCTCAATTACCTATTTGGCTTTTTTACATTCTGGTGCGCCACATCAAGTTTTAGCTCTTGAGTTAAAACCACAGTCTGAAAAAAAACCTTAATTGTCTACAGATCTGCTTTTTGTAAACAAAGAAGATAATGAAAACAATTACTCATGTGCTGTAACTCTAGATAACTGTCTTGATCTTTTACATGCGCTGACAAATTCTACATGACGCATTTCCACCAAACCATAAATGCTATGGATGAATGATGAAATCAGCCAAAATTGGAATCGGTCAAGATCGGAACTGGCTGATTTCTGCTCCACACAAACAATCTGGTAATTTATTATTTTGATTTTGGCTGATCTGTGTTGCAGTTTATGAGATAACTAATGAGGCAGGTAAGAGCACTCGCACTGTATTTGAATGCTGCCTCCACAGTTGTACCAAAATGACGTAGCATAATTACACGACTCGTTGAGCTAAATAGCAGCTATATAAACAGGCAACTAAATATTCTTTTAAGTGTTTCAAATGCCAGATTTGGCCCATTACAGCACGTAATGCTATCTATGTTGCAAATGTGGCTAAGTGAAAGTCCCGGTACAAGTGTGTTTCTAATGGCAACAATAAAAAGGCTGATAAAAATAGGTCAAAGTATCACAACTAGAATCAGCCACAAATATTCATGATCATTGCACCTCGTACAATAACACGTGTACATCATCAACCACGTGGTTTATAACAGTTCAAACAAAACAAAATTTCTCCAATAAGCTGCTGTCCATACTTCCATAAGAGGAGAGCCATCATCTCAGGCTGTAGGCCACATCTGAAGTTTCTTACTGTGATCAACTTCATTTAAGCCAATCGAGACAACATCAAGACTAAAAAACCAGAGAAGGAAAACCCCCACTTAAATTCTACTAGATACCCAACTAATACCTAATTAGAAATATCATCCAAATATGACATATGCTATGTCTAATCATCACAAATAAGGATCACAATATCAGTCAAAAGAATTAAAATTGGTCATAACTGTACAGCTCTAACATAAGCTACAGTATATGTCCAAAAGTTTGTAGACTCGAGCTTTTCTTCTGGGAAGGCTTTACACTACATGTTGGAAAGTTGCAGTGATGACCTGATCGTATTCAGCATTCATTAGAGCATTAGTGGTGTCAGAAACTGATGTTGGATGATCAGTTCTGGAGGCATCCAGAGGTACTGGATGGAGCTCCATCACTCCAAAGAATGCAGTTCCACTGCTCCACAGCCCAATGCCGGGAGGGCTTTATACCCCTCTAGCTCACACTCAGCACTGGGCATGGTGGCCAGGGGTAGGCAACATGCGGTTCTTTTACTGCCCTGTTGCAGCTCCACAGCAGAATTCGATTTTTAGGTAAAAATGAAATATTCCTCCTTTGCAGTAAAATAAAGCTCTGCTGATCGTTCTAACACAGTTTTAACAATAAATGGTCTTAAACGCTGGAGTTATTGTGTAACTGCTAATTCACTCTTTAACCCTGAAGGCTGGCATGGAGACTGCTGGTCACCATAGCAACGCAGACAACAACCTCGCCTAGCTGGTAGCTAACGAAAACGTGAAGACAAAGATTTAAGACAAACGTCGATCATTTGGAGACGAATGGACTTATTTGCGTTTATAATCACTCCAACTAGTTTCCTGATACATTTAATCTGAAACGAAAAACTGTCAAACACTAAAAAGTCGCTAGGCTGAACTCAGTTTCTCATTCGCCTGCTTCTCGTTCCAATTTTTCCATTCCACCTTAAATGGTGCAGCAGTTACATTCTGACACCTCACACAAGGTGGAACAGAAAAATTCAAACACAAAGCTGGTGAATGAGAAGCCGACTTTAGCCTTTGAGAGACATTGCACAAGAAACTATTCTTATTTTGAGGAAAAGTTTCCTGCCGGAGATGCGAGAAAAGCAGCTATAGCTCAGCTAAAGCTTAAAACAGAGCAAAGTAAGTCTGTGTTTTCGTTTACATTAAATTTTTTGCCTGTACTAGCACATTAGCACATACTAAGACATATTTACAGCCGAGATGGTAAAATGGACATAAAACGTTGTGGCTCTCAAGGTGGTTTGATTTCTGTTGAAAGACAAAATCGCTCTTCTTAACATTTAGGTTGCAACCCCTGCCTTTGGCTCATGTGCAGCTGCTTCAGAGCGCAATGGGTGCACATTTACATAGCTAAATTCACTCCTCAGAAGGGCTGTCTGGATACTTTTGGACATATAGTGTATATATAAAAAAAAGCTGAAAATGATGATTTTTGCTTTTTGCCAAACTGATTTAACTGTGGGGCAATGTAGAACTGGTATAAGCAGATGTTCGAGAACTACAAACTCGAGTTTGTTGCCGTTTCACTTTTGCAATAATAATAATAATACACAGGATTATGTGAATTGAATGCTAGGGTTATGAAGAGACGACACCTACCCGTATGGGTGAGGCTGTGTCTTTGTAGGTGGTAGCGTTGAAAAAAACGCATGTCGCACATGTTACAAGCGTAGGGCTTCACCCCTAAGTGCAAAAAGGATAACTGTATTAGCCATATGGCTACAGAACTAATTTACAAAATGTCCCCATGGAACAAGAGATGGACACTGTAGTAGTGTGAAAGCAGTTATAATTAAACTGTGTTTATATTTGCCCTAAAAAAGCAAACATTATCATTTTTAAATTGCACCTTGGGTCTTTGCTACTGGTACAAAGATATCAACAATAAACACTTACAAACAGTACTGTGCAAAAGGCAGAGACCACCATTCATATATCTAATTTCAAGTCAAAATGACCATTAAGTACAAGGAAAATTACACAGAAGCCTCAACAACTAAACATAATATGATTTTTTCAGTATTTATTGTGTCCACCCCTTTCTTCCATTCTTTTTAGGAGACTCGCTTTCAGGTCATAGAAATATGTACGGATATTCTTTCACACCTCCAAAGTTCAGTCTTAAAAGCTGGTTGATCAGTTTCTGAAGTAATCCAAACACATTCAGTGATGTTGAGATCTGGACTCCGGGCTGGTCAGTCCATTGTTCAGCTTTTGTTTGATGTGTCTGTCTCCTTTTCTCAGTGAGGCTTCTTGAAAGCTACACATCCTTTCAGACCCATAGCACGGAGTTGTCTTCTCACAGTGGAAGGACGGACAGAAACTGTGGATGTTTTTCAGATCTGAAGCAAAAGTGGTGTTTTTTTTCCCCTTTTCTCTCATTTTTGAATTTCTACCACTTCTTGCACAGTTGTCACATTTTCTCTGTACCGTTTAATATTTTTTTTAACTCCAGTTTTGAAAACTCCTGTTTTTTTTTCAGCACTTATTAACTTTTGACCTTCATTAAGCAAGTGGATTATTTTATATCTAATCTTCTCAGAAATATCTCCTGAAAAATGAATAACTTGTACTTAGTGGCCATTTTAACTATAAATCAAATAAATGAAATGGGGTATCTGACTTTCGCACAGTACTGTACAATATAAGAATAATTACAGGCAAAACTAAGGACATCATACAGCAAGACTATAGAGGATGATTTGATTAAGCATGCTGTGCTCATGACAGTGTTGCCAACTTGAATGCAATCAACAATCAGTTTCTATTTTAAATCCCAAGGGATTCATATAGAAACCATACTGTGCTTATGAAGGTATGACTTATGCCAAATTGAAACTGCAATAACAATTACACAACTGGTAGGTTTAAAATGCATGTTTTTTTGTTAAGTTGGCAACAGTGCTCAGATTTCATCTGTGTGGCCTGTCTTCAGACAGTAGGGGGTAAGGTGTAAAGACACATACCAGTGTGAGTGAGGCTGTGTCTCTGCAGATGGTAACGGTGGAAAAAACGCATGTCACACATGGAACAAGCGTAAGGCTTCACTCCTAAATGCACAGAGCAAAATATTAGTCATGTGCATTCTCTACTGCAAAAATACACGCTAAAGCATTCATTACTGTCAACACGGCTCTCTTGTACAATACTTTTAAAAGTGGAGTTTGAAAGAGATAAGTTTTCATCAGTGACAACCCATGCTTTCCATTTCTTCCAAAATTAAAATAAGGTCAGCACTTAAGTGATAATTCATTGCTGCACCATAGTTCTTAAAATCTCAGAACCTTTTGATCAAGTAACTGTGGAAAACTATACGGTACCCAGTGTGAGCCCACCCACAAAATCAAAGACTTCTCATAAAAAAACTCATTAACTTCTATAAAGAGTTAAGAACAAAAGCTACAATAAGAAGCCATGGTTAAACTGTTCCAAATACTCCACCTTTCCCTAGTAACGGCACTTTGTCACAGTTTTTTTCCTACTTCTAATTTTTTTTCATGAAAAATTGAAGAATGGCACTTCTGTTTTCAACCTCTTCTCATAATTGGTTGCTTCAGAGACATAAGTGGACACATTAGAGACATAAGATTAAGACAGTGGTGTTATGTTAAAGTTAGAACCCAGCTGACGTGAAAATTTTGTGCCTTATATTTTTTTAAGAGCTAAAAATTTCTCTGGCCGATATAATTTGTATTTATTTCGCAGATTTCAATTTTATACTCAATTACAATAGTTTTAGTCGCACAACGCTTATACAATGTTAGTTCCAAGTTGTGACAACTCTTGAACCCAAACAGCACTTTAACATTATTTATATATAAGAATCACATTTTTTGTGAGTTTGGTTTCTGTTAATGATCTAATAGAATGTTTTCAAGGGAAGCTCTTCTTAAAAGTTCTCATACTAAAGGTGGAGTTTAGATACATTTCACATGTTTTTGTTATTTTGATCATGATGTTGAGATTTAACAGTTAATATAGTTAATCAGGGGATTGGAGTCGTTTATTATCAGTGTGTTACAGGCTATATTTTTGCTGACAATGATAAAATCATGAGTTGTCAACATCATCTGATAGCATTGATCAGGCCCTAGTAAAAATACACACATGAACAATTTGCTGAGGCCAATTTACAATATTTAACCACACCACTGCACTAAAAGCAAAAATACAGAGATTCTTTCAAAAACTACCACAGCCCTTTCTCTTCAGTCCCTTTTTGGTAAAAGACATTTTTTTTTATAACCTGTCAGATTCTCATGCATTAGGAGCAATATTGCTGAAGAAAAGCACAAAAAGCATTGGTGTGGACGAGAGTGTGTGGGAAAGAGGCATAATCAAGGATGGTTTAAACTCTACCACTAATCCAACCTTAAAGAATAAATATATGAGTAAATCCTGCAAGATTACAGGTAAGTGGAGCAAACTGTGAAAAAATTAGATCCCTCCTGATTTAAGCGAGCAACTATGATACCCAGAGTGACCACTGCATTTGAGGATTACAAAAATAATCACAAAAAAGGTCACTTAAAACTTGCATTGGAGTTGACTGTATGGGGTACAAAGAGACAACACATACCCGTATGGGTGATGCTGTGTCTCTGGAGGTGGTAGCGTTGGAAAAACCTCATATCACACATGGTACAAGCAAATGGCTTCACCCCTAAATGCAGAGTACTAGTATTAGAATATGATAAACGATATTTGGATTTGGAAAGGTCACGAATTCCCAAATAAGCTCAACACGTCTTGAAAACTGTTTTTGTGGCAGCCTATAATAATAATACTGATGCCTACAATAATAATAATAATAATAAACTCAAGACGAATATAGGCAACAGGGTCATTCCATGCAAACTCACCTAAAGACTGGCAGGTCAAGTGAAAGACTATTGTACATAACTGGTTCAATCCAAATAGGTGGCTATCATTATGGAATAATATTGTTTCCCAGACTAGCGCAGTGATTGATAAAGCAAAATCTGCTACACTATTGCCGTGGGCTGCAACAGCATCTCCCCTTCAAGATTTACTACAGGCCCATTAGGGCGAGAGCTCTTATCAGCCCACCCTGTGTGCATGTTTTTGTTTTTTACAATTGGTTTGACAGTCATATTTGTGTTTTAATTATCATATTATGTGTAACTGCTTTAGAAAAATGGAAAAAAAACAGGCAAAAAAATTAATTCATGTAACCACACAAATTTCAAAAACTGCCTTCAGTTCATTTTTGAGACATCAAATCACCTCTTAAATGTTGATTTAACGTTCATAAATGCAACACTATGAATAATCTTATACTTTAAAATCTACTGGTTTCAAGATAAATTCACACATCAGGTTATTTTCTGAGAGCTTGTACTTACAAAAATCTTACATTTTCTTAAAGTAAATCTTCAGTTTGGTTTTCACTGAAAATAGAACATGTTTTTCATACTCTCATCACATCTACAGAGTATTCACTTCTGCAGGTCATTTTTGAAGCTAGGCCATGAGCTTGAAAATTCTTTAGAATAAAAAATAAATATTTTGGAGGCCTTGTTTGACCTTACGTTTTATCAACAGGGACTATTCCTATTTGCTATTTGTGTTCCTGAATAACAACCGTTATGTCTTATTAACATAAAGAATTATGGATGTTCTCTGATTCCTTCATGGTTTATCCATTTTTTTTTTTAAATAAGGTACTTCACTAATGAGCATAGCATAAAGAAACACTAAAACAGAAAATATGAAAACGAATGTTTTCCAAATGAGCCTTCATTATGAGCCAAGAAGTCTGTATGCACAGGGTCAGGCAGTGGCTTTGAGTATGCTGTGATTTTGCAGGGCCAAAAACAGACACCATCATCTTCTGATGTTTTCAGCGTAGATCTTTGCCATCACGTCTTATCAAACCAACAGTCAATGTTACCCTATGATATGCTGCCTCACACTGATTTAATCTTAACTCCTAGTTTCTGCTGCTGATATACACATTTTTTTGTCCTGAAACTTAGATAATTTTCGTTGACTTTTCTGCAGCTGGAATGTAGCAATTATGCCCGTGAGTGGCAGTGACCGTTGGAATTCTCAAATCTATTAGAAATCAGACGTTTGAGGCAACAGATTCTATAAGAAATTAACCTTTTTATGACTAACATGAAATCAGTTGATATACACTCTTAAAAAAAAAAAAGGTTTCCTTAATAAAAAAAAGTGGTTGTAAATAAAACCATGAACACTCAATGAACGCTTTGCATGATTAAATTGTTTTTTTGCGTTGTGAGAGGGTTCTTTAGACTGATGGAGAATGTGCTGTAAATACTTCTACATAGCATCTTCTTGAAAAGGGTCCTTTATGGCACGAAAAAAAAAAAAGAGTTCTACTATTGTAACAAACCTGACATCGTAACTATAGCAGAACCCTTTTTGGTGATATAAAAAACCATCTACAGCACACTCTCCATCAATCTGATGAACCATTTCACCATTCAGAGAAACTTTTACTCTTGTAAAGAGTTCTTTGAGTGTTCATGGTTCTTTATAGAACCATTTTCTTTACTAAGGAACCCTTGCAGGACCACCATTTGTAAGAGCGTACAGCAAAATATTGTTTTTTTTTTTTTTACTTAAAGTTCAACAGGTAGTCCAGAACCTAACCAAATACCAATAAGAATACAACAGCAAATTCTTAGTATAAAAAAAAAATACAAAAAATTAAAATAAAATAAAATAAAAAAAAAACCTTTTCAGTTTTGCAGGCTTGTATGTATTAAATAGAAGTTTAAACTTGATTTTTTCTTAAGGTGAGCTGGCATGGAATAATCCCAAAGTAAAAAAGTATTACAACAAAATCCACGTACATGAGACGTTTTACAATGAATTTACTACTGGATTAGTAATTCATATTGTTTATAAAAAGTTTCAAATTGTATGGAAGTGAAGGGGTACAGTAAGGTGACACGTACCCGTGTGGGTGAGACTGTGCCGCTGAAGGTGACAACGTTGAAAAAACCTCATATGGCACATGGAGCAAGCATATGGCTTCACCCCTACATACAGAGTATCACTGTATTAGCATAGAATGACCACTGGGACTTTCGTTTGGCCCAAATTTTGCATATTTTAAAATAAAAGACATTACTGCTGGCATTCAACTCGTACCCGAATTCACTAGCCATGGCACTAGCTTTCAATTCCAAGAAAAAAAAAACTGGCTGGAGATTGAGGATTTAAAATCAGTACCAATTAAAGAATTTTATACGTCGATTACTTTATTGACATATTTTATATTTACAAATGCTGGCTGCATAAGTATTCATACTCTTGAAAGTAAAAGTAGTACATTTCTATGGTCTGCAATTCTTATATACCAAACTGTCAGTGGAACTGAGGCCTCCCACTCACATTTCTACTTATTTAAACTACTGTAATGAGTCTTCGATCTTGTGTTTTCTCAAAAGTGTATATTCACCCAAACATTTTTTATCTATTTTCAACAGAGTGATCAAAATGTGATGGCCAGTACTCTCCACTTTGCTTTTGGTCCTCAGACATTAATGAGAATAGGCAGCCTAAATGCATGGTGCTGCATTTGAACTTTAGAACCAGCAGAAAATGAATCTGTGGTAATATTAACCCATTTTTACTCAAGCACAGTCCCAGCCCAGACGCTTTGCCCACACATACGCACTGTTATACACTGTACGCTAAGCTTGTAATCCTAATTGTAATGGACTCTGATTGTTCTGTCTGATGGCAAACAGACTTTTGTTTATCAAGCTAACTGCATGCTAGCACAAGCAGCAGGCAGTTGCCTTTTCTTCATGGTGACAATAATTAGCTTTTCAGAGCGAGGTATATTTACTGGATTTAATCAAATGTGACGTTCACAATGTCAGGCTTTTAAAACTTAATCAGTAATCAAATTTGAAGCATTCACAAGACATAGCCACTTCAGACATACCACTTTACCACAAGCAGGTGGATTTTTCTTGAAAGACTTTGGTGAAACTTGCTTGCTTATACGTCACGCAAAAAGGATGAGCCAAGCTAAGCAACAAAAGCTGCCAGACTTTCCGCCAAGACTTGCAACATTACATTAGCTATTTTAAAACAATTTCACTACATGGTCTACTTCCTGATTAGCTGCTGAATTTTAAGATATGTACTCATTTAGGCTTGTGCGATTAGTACAGTGCAAATTTTACGTCTTGATTATTAACAAGAATTATTAGGATATTTAAATCTTTTAAATCACATCTGCATTTCATTTGCATTTGTTTTTTGCAAGTCATGATGTTTAATGTTCAACATTACTTTCCAATGATAAACACTACAGTGATAAAAAAATAACTTTAGATGGTAACATTATATGGTGCTTTTCTTCTTACGCAAGTGCAGCTAATTGGGATGGGTCTGTATACTTATGCAACCAGTATTTTTTGATTTAAAACTGTTTAAAGATCATTAAATAATCTGGTAATGGATTTCACCATTATATGTGCTTGCTAGCCATGTGTGTTTCAACAAAATCTGAAAAACAATTTCAGGTATTTGGATGCTGCAACGCACTGGGCACTATACAAATACTGAGTTTGGTAGGAAGGCAAGACATTTATCTTTCCTTGAAAATGAATTTAATAATTAACTCCATGCACTCGATAAATTCCATGCAAAGCAAGGATATCTATTTACTGAGATCTTTAAGCAGGCTCGCAAAAGTGATTAAGATTAACCCAACAGAGGGTCTTGCGAGGACACATACCCGTATGGGTTAGGCTGTGTCTTTGCAGGTGGTAACGCTGAAAAAACTTCATGTCACACATGGAACAAGCATACGGCTTCACCCCTAAACACACAGAGCACCATTAATGTTAAGTTTTTGGTAAACAGTGAAACTGCAGCTAAGTACGTCTTCAGCACCACACTGCCCCAATGTGTTTTCAAGTCACCACATCCAAACTCGAGTTTGTTGCAGCCAGACCATTGATGGTGCGGTGGAACAGACAAACGTGGCACATGAAATCGAGACTCGTATGCATTGCTGCCAACTGTGTTGTTATACTGAGTCAGAGTTCAACCCAGTAAGGGGAATGGGGATCAGTGCAGACTGCACTGAATGACAGTGCTGCCTGTTAAAATGTGATTATTAGCCAGATGCTAGAGGCCTTGCAGTTTTCACTGCCCAGGCGTTCATGAAAACACATTAGGTTCTGATCAGAGGCTTCAAATGCCACCCCACGGGTTTTGAACAAGTTGGCAACAGTGCTAAGCTGCACATCTGTGTGGCCAGTTGCAACAGTGCAAGTGGTAAGGAGAGACGACTCATACCCGTATGAGTGAGGCTGTGTCTCTGCAGGTGGTAGCGTTGGAAAAAACGCCTGTCACACATGGAGCAAGCGTAGGGCTTCACCCCTAAACGCACAGAGCAAATAATTAGCTCACAATTAAAATCAAAAAAGGGTCAAAGATACTGCAGAGTAGCAGGTCAGTTTGACAGGGCATCGACATGGAGTAGCATGCTTTCTTGTCAGTGCGGCACAGACAGGAGTTATCCACAATATTTTTCAACTGCGCTTATGTGTAGAAGAGCATAGGGTCTGAGAATGAGTTTTAACTTTTATCAAAGCAAGTGCTTAGTCTCTACACTTGATCCTTACTAACTGAACCTAGACAGCTATTTGCCTATTACTGATAGCTTTAAATGGCTATTACTGGCCACTTTTTTATCTAAAGAGCCCATGTCCTTTATTTTTCTTGCATTTGTGTGCCCCAAAAATTGCCGTAATTAATTTCCATATGACAAATTTTCATATTTTAATTCATATTTGTAAACGAGTTCTGCCAGATTCACAAAGCAGTCCAAGACAAAATGCTGCTTATAATATCAGTGTGGAAGGGCAGAGTCGAATATGTAAGTACACTGAATTCACGAAAACAATCAATTCAAAACACGCTACTTTTGCATCAGATAATGGGGAAACTCCAGGTCTACATGAGTCAGGCAGTAATCAGATTTCTGCTATGCAACCGGCCAATAAACTCACAGAAAATGACATGATGTAAACGTAATGTAAAATCCAAACTTCTGGCTTTTATTATTATACATTGCGCCACTTTACCTGAAAATATGAACATACATCATGTTGAAGATAAGGAATATTTAAATCCTTCAATTCGGTTTTAATGTCACAAAAGCGTTTTGCTGCTTCTCGCAAAGTAAGAGTTTACATACACAGAGAAATCTGATTACTGAGCTAAAATCCAGCATCTCCTTATCTTAATCAGATTTATAGACCTTACTCCGATCTGTGCTGTTTACACGACCACAATCAAATAACGGTAGAAATCTGATTATGATTGGATTATTGAGTGCACGTAAATGCATTAAATGTTTTAATGCTACAACAAACTCTTATTTCAAAAAAGCTTGGGAAACTAGGTTGTCCAGGACATGAACCGATCAGATTCAGTTTAGCCACTGATAACCTCTAATAAAGGCAATAACAGCTGTAGTATTACTAAACAGAATGTTTTAAGTTATCATATTCAATTGATGCAAACGTTTCCATTTTACCAGCTTCAATTATTATACCTTATTTCTATTTGATTGGTCCATGAACTACATTAGAATACTCCAGATTTTGCTGCAGTAAAACCTTTTCTTTTTAAGTCCTTTTTATTGGTAAAATTAGCAACTCATACTGTTTTTGTGTTCCCGTATTTTGTACAGAAATGTTTAGCAGCACATTTAACAAATGTAAACAATCAGTTGATAACATTTAAGTGGGAAAGTATTTCTTAATTCGCATAAGATAATCATGTGGCTCAGGAATATTGTGGATACTCTGTAAAACATAAAAAATATACATATTTCTATTCTATATTCAGAAGCATATTATAGCAGATAAAATTATCCTGTGATCACTGTTATTACCACTTGATTGTTGGGGAACCAGCCAAGATTTATTTACTGATTAGCAAAAGAGAATTAGTAAAGATCGGTGCTCTGAAGTGGTGCAATCAACAAAAGGAGACTTTTGGAGAAAAACATTATTTTGCTGGTAAGCGTCCTTAACTTTCAGAACAGAAATGTTCATTTAAAATATCTGTTAACAGTCAATAATATTATTTTTGTCCCATGTAGCTTATAACTTAACAAGAATTTTACTTTATTATTTATGCATTTGCATCTTAACTTTAAACTTCCAAAAGTGTAAACGTGTTCATATCAATGCACACAACTTCTGGATCTAATAACTTACTGTTTATTTACATTAACCCTTAGAACCCTAGGGTAATTTGGGGTGACTATTTGGTATTTGGGTCAATTACATTTGCAATTATAGAGTATTTACATGAGACAGTCACACATGCCATATGGTGTTATTATCAGGAGACCCTGGACTACTCAAATATGCCATTATTTGACATGTAAATGCTAAGAAAAGTTTGATATCTCTATGAATTTGGCACATTTTTGAGGAAAAATTTACATAGTGCCTGCAAAATTTTGTAAATTTTTGCTTATAGAGATCTTCAAAACAAGTGGCATCTTAGATACCTTTTCAGAAATTGTTAGTCGGGAGTATTTCTGAGCTGAAAGTGCAAGATGGTAGTTCATTCTATTGGTCATTACTAAGTAAAAATAAACAATTAGCATAAGGGGCCATGTTTTATTATTGACTTTCTGTCCTCTTGAATTCATGCCGAGTGCTAAAACTACACAGCAAGACAGGTTTTAGTTTTAATTACAAATTGAGTTGCACATTGAATATTAGATATTTTTAATCTCCAAAATCAATGTTAAGAAAAACAGAACTAAATATTATTGATTTCATAATAATATTATGATATTTACTGTTATTTGTCTGTTTATCCTACATGTCATCTGTGTATAAGAAACAGAATTTTTGTTGTAACTGCTGATGCACATGTTGGTTCTGCTCAGAGCAAACCGATTTCTGAACCGTAGTAAGGATCACACAATACAAATATGATTGCGTTGCAAAGAAAGCAGAAGCCATGCTGGAGACATCTAACATGCGAAACAGGCAATGAAAAAAGATTTAAAAAAAAAGAAACAGCAACAGCCCTGCAACAGCAGAAAGCAGCAAAATTACATGGCAAAGCCGTGTTCGGAAAGCCAATTGACCAACCAACATGTCACAAAAGTGAATAAAAAGTTATACGGTGCTTTGATGCAGCCAGCTGCAATAGTGCAGGGGGGGCAAGGGGTTAAGATGAGAGGGGGTCATACCCGTATGAATGAGGCTGTGTCTCTGAAGGTGGTAACGTTGGAAAAAGCGCATGTCGCACATGGTGCAAGCATACGGTTTCACCCCTGAATGCACAGAGCAAAATGTAAATCACACGACTCCCGAAAATAAATCATTACTGAGATACTCAGATTAACTTCACTGACCACCCATCAGGGCATAAGAGGCAAACAGCTGGGCAATATCCTGAATAGATCCTGAAAGTCTTCATTTCTACTGTGGCTACAAGCTAAACGGCGTTAGCCCAGAAGTGATGACCAATTAGCAACCGTGAAGGTTTTCTTCTGTGTAGACGAGCACTGTTCTGGATATCTGCAGCAAAATATTTACAGATGAGCAATGCTAGCTGTAATGCACTAATCAGGTTTATTCTTTTAATGGCTTGAGACCTGTGTAATTAGACTAGGATCGGGTTATGTTAGTTAAGATTAGGGCCCAACCAAAACGGACATTTTGTGGTTGAAACTGATTGAAAACAGCTAAAAATTAGCAATTATTTTGGCTGATATAATTTTAAACATGTTTTATGATGTTATTTTTCTTTTTTGCCATTAGCTTTCTTAATAAAAAGGTTTTACTGATGCCACAGGTGTTTTGTTTAGATTCATCACTTCAGCCTGTGTCGCTGTGATATACCTGAACAGGGAGCATCTCATTTTGCATTGTCAAAAGACACCAAGTTCAAACCTTGGCTATGATGCAACCAAAATAATGTAAATTTTTGGCATCGATATGGACCAATGTTATCAGCCAACCGATATATTGGTCGGGCCCAAGCCAAGATCAGAATCTAAAAGATCCAAAAGAACAGCTGAAATCGGTAAATATTAATTAATATACGTCTAAACATACCTTAACTTCATTAACACAAAAAAGGAATAACACCCCTTCAACTGGAAAGTATGTTGTTTCTGTCATCGATAACTCTTCATTACTTAACTGTAGCCAGTCAATAGGAGACAAATGCAATTTTAAAAAGCATTTTTTCTGAATTTGCACATCAGAGTTTGCCATGTGTCCAGCTTGCTTAGTTGCCTATCACGTTCTCTAAAGATACACATACTCAATATATTAATATTAACACAACGAAGTTATAATGCTTAAATAACAAGAAAACAGTAGTGTGTCTGGCATAATGCTTTTTTTTTATCAGTGGCTTATTGAATGTTTATGTCCATGTCCAATATGTCGACACATACCAGTGTGAGTGAGGCTGTGTCTCTCCAAGTGGTAACGTTGGAAAAACCGCATGTCACACATCGAGCAAGCATATGGCTTCACCCCTAAACGCACAGAGCAGTAAATTCAGTGATCGTCTACACAGAACTAAAAACCTGCATTGAAAAAATGAACAAGTTATGAATTTGGCGTGTTATAGGGCACTAAAAGAGGGCTCACAGACTTGTAGCACAGCTTTTCCATGGCATTGTTGCAGAACAGAAATTATCAAAGCACAGATGTTTCCAATATTTTGGTGGTCAAGATCAATGCAAAATGTTTTGATTGGTCAAATGGCTACAATCAGCATCAGTACTGAACTTCAGCATTACATCTTTTTCAAAAGCTTAATAAGACTGCTGCTACTATTCTCTATTATTAATGCAACATGCAACTCATGTGAGTGGCCATTTAGTTTCCTTAGTCTACCATCTCTCTTTCATTAGCACTGCTTCACTGGACTAACTTGCTGAGCAAGTTTTGATTAATGATATAGATCAAGAGAAGCCCTAATGTATTTCCCACTAGTATGAAATTTCACAGACCCTTTTGTACACTGTTTTATTGAAGCATACTATTTTTGAACTGCATAAAAACTGCACTTTTGTCATTGCAGATAACGAATCTGAGTGAATAAGATCCCTACAGACAATATCCCTTAGAAATAAGACTTTGAACATCACATAAATTGTAATTTTGTCATGAAAGAAGTCTGAATAAGCTTATACTACAGCAGAAAAACTAATCCCCTGGCATTAATTCCTATTTTCAATATGGCCCAGGTCTGGTTACTTATTATTAAAGGGGAAATACTCCCACAATTCAGAGCGGTTTATGTGAAATGGTTCATTGTAGAAAAACTTGCAGACTCACATTTCTTTACAGTGGTGGTAACAGAAACCAGGGGTCGCCATGACAACAACACAAATATAGCCATTTTATTTACTATTCGAAACCACCAGTGAACCTACATGTGTCTGAGTTGTTACATGTAGTGTTACCATGAGTGGATCATAAAAAAAAAGGTTTTAGTCTTTAATCTTCTTTCAAAATTATCATAAACCAATGTGTCAGGCATCCAGCACCATATTCATAACCATTTCATGTACTGAATGGAGCTTTAAGAGGTGGAAGCTGGGGTCATATTACAAAAACATCTTAACTCTGAAATTTGATCAGTTTAGTCTTCATGACGACTTCGGTTAGGACTGAATTTTGGACAGTAGGTATTAGAGAATAACAGTTCTTAAGTTCATAATCTTATCCATACTCTAGATAGGAAAACAGTATTATAAAAACATCTAGACTAAGTATCCTAAATACTGTCCTAACTTTAGGATAAACCCCTAACTTCTGTTTAATCTTGCTTTTCTATTGGGCAACATAGTTCACTAACGGTACTAGCAAAATGACGTTACACTTTGTTAATATTAAAATGTGAAAAAAAGCATCTGCACCCTCAAATTTGAGCAAAAAAATTTTTGAGATTCGAGTTTGTGGATGCTTTTTGCCACAGTAAATTTTTTTAGCTCCAGCACGCCAAGTCTGATACCGGGTGAGTGGGGTTGTTCTCCTTGACATTGATTTACACTGCTAAATGGTGGTTTAACTCATGAGGTTTTTATTTTCTAACTCTCCACTTAAAAATCTCAGACACTGCAGACACGATCTCCACCGTCCCTTCTTATTACGTTCGTGTGTTAATGTTGATCATAAAATATTACAGTGATGTTGGTGAATAACGAGGAGACAGAGCTGAACGTATGTCTGTTTATTAGGAGGAATAATGTTAGCGCACTCGGCTAAAGCATTTGGGGAAATGGAGACTGAAACTGAGGCGACGCTCTGATAAACAGAAGGGGGAAATACTCAAAATACACATCTCCAGTTTATTGCACATTTTTTACGATATTTTGATTACGTGTTAACATTTCAGCTGTGCGCAGATCATCAGTTACTAGGTAACATAACAGACATAACAGCTGATTGTTGACTTCAATCGAGTAGGTTAAGATTTCCTAACCTGAGATAAGATAAAATTCCTAAATTAAAATAAGATTTGCTTCTGTAATATGAATTTCTGAAAAATCTTATCTTGACCTGTCAGATCTCAACTTAAGACAAAAGATAGCAAGTTTCTGTAATACAGCCCCAAGTTCCTATTACCGTCACTGTTAACAATTCTGACTCAGTAAGTTTCTATAGAATGAGTGCTTCACATCAAACCACTCTGAATGATTCTATTTACATCTTAACCATTTAATTAAGCAGTAATTTTGAAAAATCGGTAGAATTTCTCTTTTAAATCCAAAGCAAATTTGGAAAAAAACAGAAGTACAGAAACAATAAAACAATAAACTTATCAAATATACTGAACCAACAAAAGTGAAGTACTGAGTTTCTTGTTTGGGATCTAAAGACTCAACATTTTATCAAAGAAGGTACTGATTCATCAGTCATACCAGTATGAGTAAGGCTGTGTCGTTCCAAGTGATAACGCTGAATAAATCTCATGTCACATATGGCACAAGCAAATGGCTTTTCCCCTGTGTGAGAAAAAAAAAAACATTAAAAAGCTCTGCATATAAAGCTACACACAAAACAAGTATCTTATTAAAATTTTCTGATGTGGAACAAAACTCACTCTTCTACACTGCAGCTCTACGCGATCTAAGGTAACTAATGCAGCATAGCTAGCTAACGTACATCACTTAAAACCCTAGAGTTTAATGATTTAACGGTTAAGATACAATGTGCTCATTTACACTAACAACTACTTAAAATTAAGTAAGTTACTCAGTATGGTATCGCAATCGGTATGGTAAGTACTAAAAACGTACTTGTACTCAGTCTGAAAAAATTGGTATCAATGCATGCCTACAAAAACTTAAACAAAAGACAAGCGCACTACAACTGCAAGCCGTACCAGTATGAATGAGAATATGTCGTTTCAGATGATAGCCACTTCTGAAGGCCCCATAGCAGTGATCACAGATGAAGTTCTTCTGCACTTTGGAAAGTGGACAATTCCCATTCTCATCCACCACAACAGCCTGTGAAAGACCAAAAGTTGGTTAGTGATTGTGGCAGCTCAGCAGTCAGTGAGGAGCAAGAAATCAAAGGTTTAAACCCTTAACCCTCTAACTCCCAATGAAAAAGCAGCTGTTTCAGCCTCTGAATTAATCTTCTCCTCTAATGGTGTCATTTCTTAGTGAAGTTGCTGAGTTTACTTTGATAAGTAAAGAACACGACCTAACAAGGTGAGGCAGATTTTAATCAGTTCAATCAAGGCATTGTGCACAACATTGTGCCAGCCAACTAAACTTTAACGACTGTACCTAAAAGGCACCAAAGAAAGAACTGCGAACTGGGAAGCACTGAATTAAACACTGCTCACTGACTTTAAAACGTCACAAAAGCGTAAATACACCGTAACAAATACATTATATGATCAATAATATAATTTTTAGGTATGTATTTGTGTTGTCAACAAAACATAAAAAATAAAGTATTAAACATTATTAAAGCATTAAAATACCTTTACGGGCTGGATAGTATTGTGTGGCGGGCCTAATCTGGCCCGCGGGCCTTGTGTTTGACACATGGGCTCTACAGGAGCAAGCTTTAATATTTATTAGTTGAGTTTAACATATTGAAAAAATAAAACATACCTAAATATAAATGAAACATAAAATGAGCCCCATTGTTTTTTTTCCTCAATATGTTAAATTCAGCAAATAAACAGTAATTAAAATGCATTAAAATGTGCAGGAGTTCTCTGTAGAGACATTTTCTATCAACAAAACACGTCATTTGTGCCAAGAGCACCCAAATTTTGCATATGACTGTGTGTGCTTGTACATGTACATACATATAAATGTATATACGAATATAAATGCATATTCTTAAGAATAATCATTATAACAATGATTATAACAGTAATGGTAATCTTAGCCTACTATACCACTGCAAGCATAACACTAACAGCTAACCATTTATGCAAACATGCCCAAAAAGCCATGCACATTACACAGAATCCAAGTCAATTCTGTAATGTCTTTGGTGTTTAAAATGAAAAACAATAAAATATGATTAATTACATTCAGCATCAACCAACCACAGTACTGTTGCCTCTTTTAAAGCATACAATAACTGTTATTGTGCTTCCACCCCTCCCTCTCCTCTGTCTTTTCTTTTCACAGAACCCCACCCCTACCCTTCCCCCCTCGCCACAACCAGCCACCTCCTCCCCCCACACAAACAAAAATGTGAGGGGAGTCTTGCAGGCACTGACCCACACAGTGCTGTCTGTGTGCCAAGCTGCTCCAAAAACAGAAAATACTCCAAGATGTGCTCAAACTTTCAAACTTGACTGATAAACTGACAGCCAGTGGAGATCTCACAGCATGTGTGCTCATACAAATATTAGAAAGGCAAAAACAGGCACGCTGAGAAGGCAAACACAGAACCAAAGAGCATATACACACCTCCCCCCTCTTCAAACACTGACCTTCCCTCCTTTCCCCTCCTGCTCCCTGACTTTACAGGGCGTTCCCGACTTCCTGTTCTTTTTCTTCAGCTGCATGTCCTCGTTGGGTCTCATTTCCTTCTCATCCAGCAGTCGGGGAGCATGGAAATCGCCCTCTTTCCGGAGAAGCTGTGGACACATATGCATATACGCACACTTAAATAAACCTTGAGACCCAACAGCACATAGTTTTTAATGATCAGAGAGCACCCACACTGCCCCCAAGTATACAACTGTGAAACATTTTTATTCTCAGCTTAATAGCTGAGCTAATAATGCACACCACACACAGCACAGTTTAATTGAATTTGAAGCTATTAGAGATGGCACTGATCCACTGTTTTTATCAGGAAGATATCAGCAGAAACTGCTGGATTGGATATAAAAGAATAAACAAATCCAGTCCAATTCATTCACAAATCTAACCTTGAATTACCTCAAAATACATGAGAAATTATATAGCAAAACATGTCATGTTATTACACTGGTTACTACATAATAATAAGTAACTAAGTAAATAAGTCAGTCATGTTACATTGGTCACCACGTGATAATGTCAGGCGCTGACATAAAAATTTGCAGTGGCCAAGCCAATGAATCTTAGCAACATACGTCCATATAAACATGCTTATCATATATCCACTATTTAAAATTAAATTAAAAGCATGCTTTAGTACCAAGAAATATTTATTAAAAACTTCACATAAATAAGAACACTGTTATGGCGACCATGGTGGTCCTTTTGCCAATCTGGTCCACCCTGATGTCATCTGATACAGGTTATGTCATTAGGTTCTGTTTAGCTACTGCAATGAGAACCTCTCATCAGCTTATTTAACACCTTGTTTAATTTAAGACCTTATTTCACAGATTGACATTTGCCAACTTCTGGCAATGGAGCAGCATCTATGACGCCAGGTGGACCAGCTCAGAAGAGGGGACCACCACAGTCACCATACCACCACTTTAGCTACTGCAGTGGTTACTGTCAAATCTAATTTGATGCAATTAGTTCTGTGTCCAACTAATTGTTCTTAAATGGAAGAGCGAGCATCCCACTGAACACTCTCTCTACCAGTTAAGATAATAATAACACTAAGATGCTTTTGGGAAACTGGGCCTATGTTTGTGCAGGCTGTGCATTTTTTGTGGCCAAAATGTGAAACGGCAGTAGATGTCTAATAATAATGTGTGACAACAGTAATAGTACAATAGTTTAAGTAATTTGAGTATGTTACGCAATTATTTTACATTACATTTCATTTTAAACCATAGCAGTTTTACTGAAAAATAATTCAGATCTGTATTGGCTAATGCCAATAAAAAAGGTTTAGTATAAATACTGGAAAGCAAAAAGCATCATAGTGCCATCTCTAAAAGCTATTATTAGGACCTGGTGCTGTGTGTACAGCATTAGCCTTGGCATCAGATCAATCAGAGCTCCAAAGTCAATTTGCTTGGTTTTAGGAATATGCCGATTCACAATGTCCCTTTCACCCCCTTTCTCCTAACCAGTGGAGGACAGCTCATCCCCGTCGGTAAGACCATGTGTCCCTGCGCCCCGCGGTCCTGTACATCCCTCTGACCCGAAGCGTGGCCTGGAGCCGGACCCAGTGGCGACATCATTTTCTTGGGGGCAGCCATGGAGCTGGCTTGCATCAGGGCCATGCTGGAAAGTACGGCTTCACAACCGAGCAGCCCCGCCTCAAAAGAGATGTTGCAGACAGATTTTAGTTATACTGAGAGTAACCGGAGGATGTCTGAGGTGTTCCGTTAAACAACCAAGAAATCTTTCACTAACCGAAATGGATATAAGCCTGCACAGGCCAAGAACACAACTACATTTCTCAGAATATCTATTTATAGTAGGACTGTACAATATATATCGTTTGTTAGCTGTTTTTTAACACTGCCATATGCTACACTGAAACTGTAGAGGGCTGCAATATGCAAATTAATGTTTAACCTAGGGCTGGGCAATATGACAATATTTATAGTTATCATAACTAATTATGCTTTTTGCATGTTTGACTATAACGAGAGCATAATTATTTCTGTTTATTTGGATTTAGAGCAGCACAGTGTGTGAAATGTTGAATACAAGTCATTGTATTCAAAGTATACTGATAGTATTTTTTAAATGTGGCACTTTTTTCCACTATTTTTTTGTCAGAAAAAATATATTGTGAAATACTGTGTATTGTGTACTGTGTATTCTTAATGTATCAGGATATCACATTTTTGCCATCCACCTCTCTTTCTAACTAGAGCTGGGTAACATCAACCAAGTATATGGTGACACGGACAATCAGTTATAATTCGCTTTCCACTTTTAGCAATATATTAACAGATACGTGCATTTTTTTAGAATGTTTTAATTCTATTTATAACCTGACAGATAACTGCAATGTGTGACTTATTAGCTGCTTCAGACTGTTTGAAAAGCTTAACATAATTAATTGCTGTAAACATGCTTTCTGTCTGCTTAACATTTACAGTACTTGGTAAGATTCTCCTGGGTGTAATTTTAAGAGATGAAACAGTCCAAACTCACATCAATAAACATGGCTTATTAACTTGATTAATGCTAACCTATTAGGATTATTAATGCTAATGTAAATTTCACCTGCAACATTTTTAAAAACATCATCATATTTTATCAATATTGCCCAACTCTTCCAACCAATTACACATTTTCCTTTTTGAGTTCCCTGATAAATTGTAATGCAGGCATTATTTACGTTTACGCTGCCCCAATATACAGTAAGTGTGAAACCAACTGAAGCAACAGAATGAAGAATTGTGAAAATCATGGGACTTGACCATGAGGAGACTGACCCATTTCATATGGTCACGGACCGAGCTGCTTGGTATGTGTGACATCACCGCCGAGACCGGATGAGAGAGGGTGGGGAAAGGGGCGGGGACAAGGTGGCCAGAAGAGATGTCACTCAGGATGGCACGCTAGACAATAGGTCACGCCTATTCCTATCATCTGGCACTTGTTTTCGTCCTTTTGAAGGGTAAGGGAGTGAGATATAGAACAGAAAGGTGGAGGGATAAATATTTGTCAAATCACAGAGCAAAACATGGCAAATGAAACAAAACTGTAATAAACTGCCAACTTCAGTTATTTTTATTATAAAGTGTTAACTATTAGCCTAAACTGCGCTTAAATATGTTTTTGAGGTCAATTTGGCAACAGTTTAATCCAGACATCCCATAACAACTTTATAATGTCCTCTGCTGCTTGACCTGCATCCATCCAAGTGATACACTTAAGCATTTTTCTATTAGGATTCCAATACAATAAAATATTAATCAGTCTGTTAAAACTTGTAGCACAAAATATCTTTTTTAACTCCTTTTTTATAGCAAAAAATACTTGTACACTGTACGCACAATAAAAATGGAATGATATTGGCAGTAAAAGATAATTGCTTAAAAAATTACCAGTGTCAGACCGAAGGTTAGATTAAGCCAATAATTCAAAGAGATTATTTGTCTAATCCTAGATAAACTAATGCTATATTTTTTGTGCAATGCTTATGCAGGTGGATTTAGCTCCAGTTTTTACATTTTCTAAAAGTGTGTGTGCATTAGAATCGACAGATGTGTGAACGTCTGCGGTCAAACGACATGCTGTTGATTGTCTAAGTGAAAATAAGATACCACATCCTCTACCTAATACGCCATCTTACTGCAAATTTTAGTGCACAATTTCTATTTATTTGTTTAACGAACTGGAAAAAAAAAACATGAAATATAAAATGTGCATAACTTTTGGCACAGCCATTTTATATTTACTTTTTAAGGATAAATACAGCATATAAACAGCAATTGTGCATTAAAACATGTTCTCTGTAGAGGATGTGTTAACTTATTTTTTTACAAAACGTGATTTGACAATCCTCACAACAGTGCATCCCTGCTTACAAAATGTAATCCTTTCTAGCACAATTACATCTTCAGAATTAGCAACACTGTCACCAAATCTATGAAATGAGGGTTTTCAGAAACCACAAAGCAGTTTTATTATTAATTTTAGAAGCGCTAAACTCAACCTTTAGAAGACATGAAGTGCACCTAGCATTTCCTCCAGCCTTTTAAAGCATGCTGTGCATCTCTGTAAGCATCAGAAAAACAGATGCACATCTTTCATTAAAAAAAATAAATAAAAAAAGTGAGTGACATCTGTTCAGGAGGAGCATCCTGCCTCAGAACTAAAATGAGCAACTACAAACAGACCAGCATGTTCCATTGCTAGATTACAAGATCTCTATACCTGTCTGTCTATGGGAAACAACACTACATCATTGCACATCAACCGTCTTTCCTCGTCGTCAACGTCCTATTTTTACCACGGACTAGGGATGGGCAATATGATATGAATATCCTTATCGTGATAAATTATGTCAAAGCGAAATGAGTATATCATAGGTATGACCAGTATAACAGTATACATCATATACATATACATATATTGTGATAGTTTATTTTTGCCATATTTCCCACCCATACCAAACACTCTTAAAAATAAAGGTGCCAAAACAGCTGTTTGGAGTGACTGACATAAAAGAACCACTTAGCAAACCTTTCCAACGACGCTTTCTGTAAATTCTGAATGTTTTATATGAAATGTCTGAAGAATGTTTAAAGAACTTCCTCATGATGTAATAGATCTATACAAACTAAAGGTTTCTTCTAGAACCATGCATGCAAGCCAAAAACCATTTAGGAACCTTTACTTTTAAGAACGCAGACCCCATTTTATTTCACATGAACAACAGTAAGAGTGCATTTTGTTTCACTTGGGTGTGTTTAAATGTAATGTTATACTCTCTCTAAAAAAAGAGCACACTGTACTAAAACATACTCAGCGCTTTAGAAAGCACTTCAAAGACAATCGTGATATACAGCTCTTAAAACATGGGTATTCAGTCACCTACACTCATAAAGACAGTTCTTCAGTAAAGGGAATGGTTCTATTTAGAACTATGAGTTCTATACAGAACCATTTTAAAATATCACTTCAATGTTTATTTGGATTGATGGAGAATGTGTTGTATATTGTTCTTTTTGAAAATGGTTCTACATAGCACCAAAGGGTTTTTTTCTACTGCTCGTGTACAACAGATGAACCGTTTTTAGTGCTTTTGGGGCATTTTCCAAAAGGTTCCACATAGAGCCATATACAACACATTCTCTATCAACCTGGAGAACCTTTTCGCCATGCAAGAATCTATTAAACAAGTAAAATGGTCCAATATAGATCTCATTGTTCTATATAGACCCATTTCTTTTTCTAAAGAACCATTGAAGAACCGTCTTTTTTAAGAGTGTACTGAACAGACGGTGTAGTCTGGCAGATGTGGAGCTAGTGAAGGGGCACGGCTCCCTTACACTGCAAACAAATCCAAGGAGTGGCGTTATTACCACGTTAATTACATCCTCTGAGCGTCTGCTGCAAAGAAGTGCATCGCTTTTGTAGTTAATAAAGTGAAAGTGATGTAATTAATTATATTTGTGTAAGTAAATGAAATACTGCAGCAGCCACCGCGTAGGCAGAGCCTGAACCAAACAGTCGCTACCGAGCTCGCATTTATGTATATTAATCACATTTAAAACCACTAAAATCTCTCGCAGTTATCTTATTCGGATGGCCTACGACTACAAACCTCTAAAACACTCATCTAAATTAGCTTAAATAACCTCAAACTCTAGTACAAAGCAATCTAATCCTACCAATGGTAGCTAGGTCAGTAAACTGGCTAGGGCTAACTAGCTACTTGGCTAACCAAGCTAAGAAACTCCTACGCAAATAACTGGTTCAGATGCCGTTTTTTATAGAAAAGACAAAGATGAAAAAGCATCGAATGGTTGCAACTCACAACCTTATATCTAGCAAAGGCAGTGACCAAAATATCTCGCTGGTTATTATGTTGTTGGTGGATGCTGCAGGTATCGCTAACGTTAGCTAGTCGCTAAACAGCAGATAACTACCGTTAGCCAGCAGAGCTAGCGTTAGCATCCCAACAAGCTCCACTGCCGTCCGAAAGCAAATCGCAGTGGCTCACTGAAATATTTCACTCCTCAAAATGGACATTTGAGTTCGCAAAAAGCCCGAAACGTGTGTTAGGAAAAGAGAAATACGAGGCCTTTACCTTCGAGTCCTCGCCCCAGGCAGATTCGGCTCTTTTATCGGCGCGTTCACATCGGCTAGCCTAGCGCTCAGTTTACAAACACAGGAAACAGGAGCGGAAGAGCTCAGCTCAGAGCTCAGAGCCAGCAGAGGCTACCACATCATTAACCCTACACCACTAGCCCTACATCACTAACACTACACCACTAACCCTACAACATTGACCCTACATCACTAACCCTAAACCACTAACATTATATCACTAACCTCACACTACTAACCCTACACTACAAGCCCTACAACATTAACCCTACACGACTAACCATACAACATTAACCTTACATCACTTACCCTAAACTGATATCACTACGTCACTAACCTCACACTACTAATCCTACAACATAAACCCTACATCACTAAAATTATATCACTAACCCTACACTATTAACACTACATCAATAAACCCTACACTAATACTACATCACTAACCCTACACCACTAACACTGCATCACTAAAACTACATCACTAACCCTACACTATTAACACTACATCACTAAACCCTACACCTAACACTAACACTCTATATCACTAATCCTAAAATACTAACTCTATATGATGTAGTATAACACTACATCACTAATTCTACACTTCTAACCCTACTTCACTAACACTACACCAGAAACACTACATTACTAACACTACAGCACTAACCTATTGTCACTAAAACTACACCACTAACTCTACACCTTCTAACACTACATCACTAGCCCTACATCACTAACCCTACATCACTAAGCCTAAACTACTAACCCTATACCACTAACACTACATCACTAACCCTACATCACTAACACTACATCACTAACCCTACATCACTAGCCCTACATCACTAACCCTAAACTACTAACCCTACACCACTAACACTACATCACTAACCCTACACAACTAATACTACATCACTAACACTACATCTCTAACACTACATCACAAACCCTACACTACTAACCCTACATCACTAAAATTACATCACTAACCATACATCAATAACCCTACACCACTAACACTACATCACTAACCGTACACTACTAACACTGCATAACTAACCCTACACTACTAACCCTACTTCACTAACTCTACAGCACTAACACTACATCACTAACCCTACATCACTAATCCTACACCACTAATACTACATCACTAACACTACATCACTAACCCTACACCACTAATACTACATCACTAACCCTACATCACTAATCCTACGCCACTAACCCTACACTACTAACACTATATCACTAACCCTACGTCACTAACGCTGCACCACTAGCTCTACATCACTATTACTACACCACTAACACACACACGTATTATTATATTAACACAAATAAATGCAAAGCCTCTGTCTGTTCTGTTTATGTAGTTTGTTTAGGCTAAAGTCAACACTGTTGTTCTAATTAATTTCACTTCAACTAATGCAGTAGTGGAACAGCCCTTATAGTGGCGGTGGGGATTCTCCTAGAGGGACCTGACAAGACCAAGAAGACAAGAGCTTGTAGAACTGGTATTGAAACAGGCGATAGACCTTTTGAGAAGGCATAATGATTTCTAGGAACTAAAAAAATACATGTCTGTAAATGTTAGTTAGTTTTTATTCAATAGAATTATGCTGGTATTTACGTGTTACAGTACTACAGTAGATATAGTTTTATAGTAGATTTATCTAATCAAGGTCTCCCCTTGGTTAGGACTTCAGGAGCTGAAGAGAAAGCCATTAACCATTTAATTACAAAGTGACAGAGTAATCAACCAGTCACGTTTACAATGGGCTGGACCAAATTTGTGAGAAGTGTCACTCTAGGTCTTGTGGAAATTCTAGATATGTTGGTGACTGAATACAAACGGCAGCCTAATTAGTGATTTGTTAGGAATGGAAAACAGCAGTGACAGCGGTACACCAGGACTACTAATACAAAGTAGAATAAAAACTAATATAGTCTGTCACAAGCTTCAAGTGAAACATGGAATGTCCTTTAGAGGCTTTAAATGTTAATGTTTAATTTAGAATGGCCAAAAACTGTTAATGCAAATTGCTGTTAGCTTAGCGCTAACAAAGTACCAGAGTTCTATAAGAATGCTAGCAGAAGAGCATCATCAAAGAGGTAGGTTTATCTTCATGTTTTGACAGAGTTTTGGCTCAAATTGAATGTCTAGCCCTGGCAGCAACAGTTCACCACTGCTTAGACCTAAATTCCTTTTACATATCTATTAAATTCCCATTCATTTTCCCTTTTCCTAACTGAGGACCTCAGTCTAGCCCTGGTCCTAATCATAACTCTAACCTCTAACCCGGCTGAGCATTACCACATCGTTTGTGAACAACTCATATGTCTATAGGCAATCTATAGGGACCTATTTTTATATAATTAATTTTGTACAGTAGACAGTGAAACTCAGCACTTCTGAGTCAAGGCAAGCATGCAGAGCGTACTTAATAAGCTATCCATATGCTATTGCTTAGCGAACATCACACAAGGCATGTTTTTTCATGTCACTTGAAACATCCCAGATAGCATCATATAGCAGTCTGCTGGCTTGATAAGGCAGGACCCTGCTGACTGTATGCCGCTGCCGGTCCACCCTCGAACCACCTGTACACAGTGACTAACTAGTTTTTAATCTCCTCAAACAGATTGTAAATGCGCACTTTTATGTAGGAAAATAAACAAAGACAGATATTACAAACAAGTGAGAGAAAAAAAATGACTAGGCCTAATATAAAATGATATAGTTGTGCTACATGGTTTACAACACTTTACCGGCTTTATTTGTGATAATTCTGTTAAAATTATTCACCAAACTAATTTACACAGGATAACTAGAAAAGAAAATGAAGGAAAAAATTAGTAAACTGGACTGTGAGTGGAAAACGAGTGATTAAAAGTGGCATTTTGTATAATACTCTGCTAAACCACCAGTGGGCTGCCTGGAAAACATTGCTTTGTCCTCAGTCAACATGATTGTCTTTAGAGGGTCAATTAGGCCAAAAGAAAGCAAACCCATATGGAAAAAAATATATGGACACATAATTTTATAAATTTGAAAAACATGTCAAATACATTGCAGTCCATGCTGAAATATGCTCCAAACACACACACACACACACATCTCCTAAGCTGCTTATCCTTCTGGGTCGTGGGGGGAGCTGGAGTCTATCCCAGCAGTCATTGGGCGGAAGGCAGGATACACCCTGAACAGGTCACTCCAAACACTGAAATGTATTTCAGAATATACTGCCATATTTACCAAATATATTTTAAAATGCATTTATTTTAAAATGTATGGAGAAATATTACACATAGAAATGTACAAAAATAAATGTATGCACATGTATTTATCAAATACAATCGGAAATGCATTAAAATAGCTACAATATACTTCACTATTTGGATACGTTTTGAAATGAATTTGTGTTCCAGAATCTTAAACAAATGAATCTTTAACATGACAAAAAAACAAGTGTTGTAGGTATTGATACTCTGTGAAAATGCAGTTGTGATTTGTATCTTGTTTATTTGAATTGCATTGTGTGTGAGTGTCTTACTGCATACGTACATGGTTAATGTAAAGTAAAATACAGAACACAGAAGTCAGTGCCATTCATTCAGCTCATGTATATTTAGTGACATCTGTAATCTTTGTTACAACCACATACAATTGAAAAAAATATAATGACAAATATACATAAGGGCTTTTTAAAATATTTTTGGCCATTTTCATACATTGCAAAAATCTATTTGATAAATACATTTGGAATGTATTTTTTCCATATGGTAACAAATATTTGTCGGGAACAAAATACTAATTTTTAATGTTATTATTATTATTTGGTTGCACATACAGCACTGGCCCCCGAACAGGTAAAGCTAGTCTTAACAAGACATGAGAGTTACAACACACAAGGGGGGGTAGGGGTGGGGTGTACTGCAGTTTCTTCTCATGAGTCATTGCTCTTCTACTGCTAAGGTAACTCACTCTGCAGTGTCACCGGTAAACAATTGCTGTGCCCTGTACTTAAACGTTGAGCTAGAATTGTGCAAGCTGAAACTGAACTGGACTATTTTTAGCACTCTATATACATTTTGCTTTCACTAATGTACCTTTTGACATGTACAGTTATCCTTCATGCACCCACACAGCTTCAAAACAGTTCTGAAACATAGTTAGCATTTATGCACACTGTAAAAAAGCCATTCTGGAAAAAAACTAGAAAAAAAATATTGCAAATTAGATGTAAATGCTTATGCAGTTGTATGCAAAAGTTTGAGATTACGTTTTGTTTATTTTCTAAGTGACAATAAGTTTACACATCTTCTACAGAGAGCACAGTTTCTTTTTTTTTTTTTGTTGAGTTTAATATATTGTATAGTATAAGTATAGTTTATTGTATAGTATAAACTATACAGTGTGCCATAACCTTTGCACAGGCCACATATTACATTTTACTTTTGTCCAGTATGTTAAATTCAGTAAATAAACAGTGATTGTGCATTAAAATGTGCAGAAGTTTGTTCTCAGTAGAGGATGTGCTAACTTATTTTCAAATCAATAGCACATGTAATTTTGGACCAGGGGCACCCAAACCTTTGCACACAACAGTATAGAACAGTATGAAGAAAATAACTTAAGAAGAAAATAATTTGCCAACAGGGTAAGCAGAATTTATTTAGTAAGTATTAGCAAGTATTTTTCTTGAAATAATAATTAATAGTTAATTCATCACATCTCCCTTTATATCTTACAAGCTGAGACTCAGAGAGACACACTTCATATTCAAATTAAAGGGCCTATAGTCAACATTTTGAGGTCCACATATGACATTTGTGTGCTTTTTACCAAAACCAGTCAGAATTCATTTAACAGGACTATTTCCAATCTTTCTGTATCCTTTTCAAATAAACAGACTGTTTTGGTTACTATACCTTTATGAGTGATATATGTAAATAAGCTTAGTTCTGATTGGCTGCCCTGCATTGTGCCTTGTTCAAAAAGGAGTCCCAGCTGAAACTGACTTCAGTGTGAGTGGGCGGGGCTAAACTGCTACAAACTGATATAGAACAAATCAGACAAAGACCTTACTTCCAGGTGGAT